ATAGATAGATAGATCTGATTCACACACAGAGAGATATAGTATTATAGATTTGAAAGGGACCCTTAAAGAAGGGCAATTATATGTTGCACGTTCCAGAGTAGGCAAACCAGACAATCTCCACATCAACACTGACAAAGGAACAGCAAGAAATATTGATTACCCAGAAGCATAAAGAAATTGCATATATTAGAAACCAACATTTTCTCATTATTTTTCCAGATCACCAGACTGGGCCACGGCAAAGCGTGGCAGGGGATGGCTAGTATATAAATAAAAATGTAATGTTGGTTTGTGGGATTAACAGAACTCAAAAACCACTGGACAAATTGACACCACATTTGGACACAAGACACCTAACAACCCAATGTATGTCCTTCACTCAAAAAACCCCAATCAAAACAAAAAGCAGAAAGGCCTTCTAAACTGCATGTCCATCCAGCCACCTAAAGCATTGTCCGCCATGGCATGATCTTATTGTCCCACCTTATTTTTAGTGGAAAGGCAAAATAATGTAAATACGTTGGCGCTCTTGGTGCGATAAAATCCATGCGCTGGAAACACATCAGGAATCCATCAATGCAGGAACACCAATACATTTGGGCTTAAGAAATGCACAGTGCAAACCAATTAGTGAGCTCACCCCCCAGTGAAATTAATGGGCAATAATCCACTTAAAAGGCCAAAATGTAAAGTTCAGGCTCTCCCCTCCCACCAGGCAAACAAATACACAGGCAGCATCTGATGCTGGTGATGGAAGTGTGCAGACTGTTTCCCCTCAAAGGGAACTTCCCACCGGAAAACCGGATCTCACCTGGTCCAGGACGATGATCTCATCCGCATCCACCACCGTCGACAATCTGTGTGCAATGAAGATGGAGGTTCTGTTTTGGATCATCTCTTTCATGGCGTTCAAGATGTTCTGAAAAGTTAGAAAAATGTGTTATGGAGAACGTGAATGGGAAAGATCTATCTAAATAAAAATGTCATGTTCGTTTGTGGGATTAACAGAACTCCAAAACCACTGGACGAATTGACACCACATTTGGACACAAGACACCTAACAACCCAATGTATGTCCTTCACTCAAAAAAATAGATTTTGTCATCTGGGAGTTGTAGTTGCTGGGATTTATTAATAGTTCACCTACAATCAAAAAGCATTCTGAACACCACCAACGATGGAATGGAACCAAACTTGGCACACAGTTCTCCCATGACCAACAGAAAATACTGGAAAAGTTTGGTGGGCAATCTCCTTTGGTTTTGGAGTTGTAGTTCACCTACATCCAGAGA